CTGGGTAGGGTGGAGGGTCAGAGAAAAAGAGGAAGACCCCCAACGAGATGGATCAGCCAGGTGGCATCATTGATGGACTCAAGTGTGGCAGCGGGAGTGAGGTTGGCCCAGGATCGAACTTTGTTTCGTTCTGCTGTGCATGGGTCGCTATGAGTCGGTTCCCACTCGATGGCACCTGACAACAACAACAACAACCAGAGTTCCTTATGTGTGTGTGTGTGTGTGTGTATAAGATACATACATATACATATAAGGTCTTAGGGCTGTTTAAAAAAAAATTCAAAGTATTAACAAGATCATTCAAAATTACTTCAAATGTACTTCTAATGTACAAGTGAGGGCACATACCGTATGTAGCTGTGTTTGCCTTGTGAAGCTCTTTTGCCATCACTCTTAACATTAGTCTTTGGTGAAAACATAGTCACACTGTTGGATACAAAATTCTGTGTCATTCTCAAATTACAAGTTCCAAGTTACTTAAGAGTCAAATCCTGGTGGCACAGTGGTTAAAGTGCTCAACTACTAACCACAAAGTCAGTGAGAGACTGCTCAGAGAGAGAACAATAGTGCTTTCTGCTCCTGTCAAGGTTCAGTCTCAGAACCCTCCGAGGCAGTTCTGCTGTGTCCTACAGGCCAGTCTGTCCACACCAGTAAGGGTCAGGGTTCCCACTGCTTAAGAGCTTTGAATTTTACAGTGAACATTTACCTCAAAATTCACAAACACGTTCAGCTTCCCCAAATAGTAAGAAGCTGAATGAGAATTTGGAGTTCCCTAACTATTATTCTTACTATAAGTGTACATGGATTCTCTCAATTCTGGAAAACAGAGTACATTTGGATATAAAAATCCCGGCGAACACCATTTACATATAAATTGTGGCTCGCCAGAAAAGAACTAAGACAATAATTATTTTTTCAAAGATGACACTGTAAATTCTCTGGTAACCAAATGTTGTAAAATTTGTGTGACAGTTATAAACAGAAAAACTGCTCAGGAAGTCAGGATGTCCCCTGAGTTGAGAACCAGACAGAAGTCTTAGGACCTCCTTCCCTTTCAGAGAAGAGATCCACACGATCCTATCAGAAGTTAAGTCTAATTATAGGTCTCACATTCCAAATCCATGAGAAACAGATGAGACCATGCTGGGAGGTCACACTGAGCCTTGCTCTGGGTATAATTAGGATGTCAGACATGGAGGATGGCTTGAACCACCAGGCTCAGCCTAGCCAGCCAATTTCCTGGGAAACAGCCCTTACACTCTTGTCTGTGGTCCAGCCACTACCAGGCCCCTCAACCCACTGGTGGGCTGCTTGGTCTGGGTCGGGCTGCCACATCTAGGTCCTGAGCCCAAAGGACAAAGCCGGAGGCACTGCCTTCTGTCCTGGAGGAGGTGGGCAGCCAATGGGCCAACAGATTACCTCAAAGGTCTAGAGTGACCAGATGGTCAGGCTGCTGGATCTAAGTGTGTAACTCAGGAGAACACTACAGCAGAGAGGGATGTCAGGGGGCGAAAGGAGGCCCAGGGCTTTGTGGACACACTTCTTTCATTCTACTGGACCGAGTCCACTGCCATCTGAGAGGACAGGCCCCTCCATACCTGGACTGGTACACAGCGGTTGCTTTGGGAAAGCTCTTCAAACAGGGAAATATTTGAGGGGAGGAGAGTGCCGCCAGAGGAGCAGACAACACCCATCCATCTGGGGACACGCCATCTGCTCAGGTCTTCAGCTGGGCCCCCGCATCTCACCCAAGATGTCCCAGCTGGCCACCTCCCCCAAGTCAGCCCACCTGTACCATCAGCCATGACCAGGACCCACACCTGACCTCTGAGCTTCCCCCCACCAAACCTAGGACTCTAGGGTCCTGTAACTACACACCCTGCCCCAGTCCACCATGGACCCTGCTGCCATGATCAGCTTACTGTAGAGGATGTCCTCATTGACACAAAGACATGTTCAGGGCCCATCACTTCTAAAAACACACATGTAAGCATCTCACTAAGGCAGTTTCCCAACAAGAAGCTTCACGTACCGTGGGCAGGAGGCGTAGCCCGAGGACCTGACCTTCCCGTGGAAGACCAGGGGCTGGTCTTGGATGCGGCTCCGGGTAGCTGTGGAGAGCAATTGGTAGAAAGAGCAAAACTAAAGGTTCCTACTGGGCATGAAAAGAGCACCATTTCTTAGAAACAGGAGAACGTCTAAGTGTTGAATGGTTTCATAATCTATGTATTTATAGTCTATAAACTTTTACACCTGAAGTTAGACCAACCAATACTAATGAAAGAAGGAGGAAATGTATTGGCTGCATAAATATTTTTTAAATCTCATTCTTTAAACAGTTGTTGTTGTTGTGAAGTGCCATCGAGTCAGATCCGACCCATAGCGACCCTATACAGGGTTTCTGAAGAGCGACTGGTGAACTTGAACTGCCGACTTTGCAGTTCAAACGGCTTTGCAGTCTGGCGCATTAAACCACAGCGCCACACCAGGACTCCTTAATATGTTGTAAATTGTACTTCAAGTCATTTTTAGCTGAAACCAGATCTTAATATCCATTACTGCCAAGGCAACTCTCAAAAGAATGCATCCAATATTATTCTGGTGAGGGATGAATCATAGAGGACAGAACAGTTACAGACAAACAAGAAAAGAAGAGGAGGAGATGAGCTATGGCGAGAGAGAGAGAGAGAGAGAGAGAGAGAGAGAGAGACAGAGACAGAGACAGAGAGAGACAGGAAACTAAAAACCTCAGGTACTTAATCCAAGCCTGCTCTGCACTGTGACCCTACGCGCCGTGTTCTCTGCTGTATGTAAACTTTGTAACTTAAGACACCAAAAAGGCAGAAATGGTCAACACGCCCAAGCATTAACCAAAAGACTGAGCCGACCCCGAGGCACCCCGAGCAAAGGCCAGGCGATGCTTCTGAATAGTCTCAACCATAGACCCCAGGAGGCTCACTTTGACCACACACACCTGGATTATATGAGTCAGGCTCTGCTCGATGACGATGAACGTATTTGTTGTTGCTATTTTGGGGACCTCAGATGCTCCACCTGTTTAAAGAGGGCAGACTAGAGGACTGGAGCCGAAGACAGAGCGGGTGGCGGGTGTGACGGCATCACTGGCAAACCCAGCGAGTGTGAATGTTTGGAGGCTGTGTGAGCTGCGATGTCTGAGAAGAGTTCCAGGAGCTGAGGGAAGGTAGCGACCAGCCATTAGCTGTGAGAGGGGTGCTCAGCAACAGAATGAGCTTCACAGGTTATAGGTGAGAGGGGCAGACTGGTACAAATCCCCTACAGAAGTCTGGGCTCTGGTGGTTATGTGCCGTGGAGTCGGTTCTGACTCACAGCAACCCTGCATAGGGTTTCCGAGGCTGTAAACCTTTACAGGAACACAAGGCCTCATCTTTCTCCCACAGAACAGCTGGTAGTTTCAAACTTCTGACCTTGAGGTTACCGGCCTGATTCGTAACCACTACTCTCCCAGAGTTCCTTGGACCCTTGTGAATTGTTCTTGAATGAACACACAGCTCCAACTCTGCACCCCATGGAGTCCTAGACTTAGATGTGCTGAGATGGCCTCCTCTGGAACCCTAACTTTGGGGCCTCAAAGGCACCCCAGTCTCAAGCATGTCCCAACCCGTCTATCGTCCTCACATCTTAGCTCTCCAACACTGCTGTGATGGAAATTCCACAAGAGTATGGCTTTAACACACAGAAATGTCCTCTCTCAGAGTCTAGGAGGATACAAATCTGACCTCACAACATCAATCCTAGGGGAAGGCCTTCTGTGCTCTTGTCTCCCTTCAGAACTGGGGACCCAGTTCTTTGGGGATCTCTGTATATCAGAGCATCAATCTCCCCTGGGCTAGGAGGTTGCTGGCACAGGTACCCTGGGTCCTAAAGACAGGCTATGTTCCCAGTTCCTACATGGTGGTAGAAGGCCTCTCCTGGCTGGCGTCTCTCTCATTTTATCTCTTGTAAGATAAAGGGTGTTACCGCCTACAGCCCAGTGAGACTCCTCGTAGATGAGGACTATGATAGAATGAAGGGTCTTATATCCCACCCATAAACGTCTTACAACATCAGACCGCATCATCGGGGATCATAACATCACGACCAGACCAGAGGATGACAGCCCCGCCAAGTGGACACATATTCTGGGGAGTATACAATTTAATCCATGACAGCTGGCTTCTCTACTCATCCTTCCTCCACATTGTGACAAAAGTCATCTGGGCCCACATTCGGCCACGTCTGTCTGCCTTCTCTGAGTCTCCTCCTAACCTCAGCCGCACATGCAGTACTTCTGCCCGTGACCCTGACCACCAGCGCCCGGTTAGCTCACAGGTTAAAGGGCACCGTCCTCCAGAGGGCCGCACACTTGCAGTCTCTATAACCCCCTTGCTGCTGATGGGCAGACTGTAAGTTCAGTCCTTCTCACGGCCTCTTCATTTGATATTCCACTGGATGGCACACAGTCTCAGGAAGCACTCTACTTAAGATGACAGTTCCACTTCAGCCAAAAGAAAGCTAACGAAGTGACACACGGAGCCGGGCCTGAGAGTCCCCGACACAGCGCTGCGAACAGGGACACACGACCCTCCCATGGGAAGAAACACTGACGTTATCAACAAGTGCATTCTACTTGGGTCCACAATCAATGCTCATGGAAGCAGCAGCCAAGAAATCAAATCGGAATATATTATACTGGGCAAATCTACTGTCAAACTCCCCCTTTAAAGTTTGGGAACAAAAAGATGTTACTTTGATGACTAAGGTGAGCCCGAACTAAGGTCTTCTGGATCACCTCAGAGGCATGTGAAAGCTGTAAACGGAATGTGAAAACTAAGGAAGAACCCATGCCTTTGAAAGGCAGTGCTGGCAAAGAATACTGCACACACCACAGATTTCCAGGAGAACGAAGAGCTCTGTCCTGGAGGAAGCGCAATCAGAATGCTCCTTACAAGTGAGGACGGTGAGACTTGGGCCTGCTCCTCAGGAAAGACCAACCCTAGACAATGACATCATGTTTGGAAAAGTGGAGGCCCAGGGAAATGAACTGACACCGTGGCCAAAGAAATGGGGCATGGAAAAGGTGCAGGACTGGGGCACCGTTTTCTTCAATTCTACCTAAATTCACCACAACTCAGAGCCGGTGGTGCCACAGGATAAGCACAGGACTGCTAATCAAAGGGTCAGCAGTTCAAACCCACTAGCCCTTGTTAAGGAGAGAGATGAGACTTCCTACTCCCGTAAAGATGTGCAGTCTCAGAAACCCTACGCAGGATCTCTCTGAGTCAGAAACAAGTAAATGGTACCTAACACCACCAACATGCAGCTATAGGCACTGTTGGCCAACGAAGCAGCTAGCTGATTCCCTACCACATGGGGCAGTTAGTAAATATTTGAGAGACAGAAGAAATGAAAGAGCAGTGGAAAAAAGCAAGAAGGATCATTTGTACTCTGATGTATGTGACTTTACAAAGCAACGTAACAAATCCAGCTACAGTGACAAGTAAAACAAGGAACCCCTTCCGTGTCTGTTTCAGGAGAAATGGCACTAACCAAGTTGCTTTGCGGCAGGCGGCTTAGTGTGCTTCTTCTCAACAGCTCCAGAATACAGTGGGGAGGTCGGTAAGACACAGGCACTAAAACAGAAGCAGATTGCACTATGAAAGCAAACAAGTATAGGGTAGAGGGGTTTCCATGAAATATACATTTTAAGGACCATTGCAAATGATTACTTCCTATAAACAGAAATTTATAAGTGTTAGAAATAAATCTAGTCAACTTATTTTTATTTTAGTGTAAAGCATTTTTTATCCAGCACCGGCCTGTTTGTTGTACTGTGGTGGTTTCTGTGTGCTGTGATGCTGGCAGCTGTGCCCCTGGTATTTGAAATGCCACCAGGGTGAGCACCGCACGTTGCAAGGCAGTCACAGACCACTGGGGAAGAGCTGAGTCTTCAAAGTAGAGTTGACCGTGATGACACGGATGTGGCATAGCTTTCAGGACCTTCTTGTGCTGATGGGGCACAGCTCAAAATGAGAAGGAAGCAGCTACAAACATCCATCAATAATCGGAACATGAAATGTACTAAGTGTGAATCAAAGGAAATTGGACGTCATCAAAAAGTGAAATGGCACACATAAAGATGGAGAGCCTCGGCATTAGTGAGCAAAAGTGGACTGGTACAAGCCATTCTGAATTAGACAGGTATATGGTTTACTAAGTTGTGAATGACAGCTTGAGGAGGAATGGCATCACATTCATCATTACAAAGAGCCATTTCAAGATCCACCTTGAAGTACAACGCTTAGGAGAATACCCATAAACCTACAGGGAAAACCAGCTACTACTACTATTATTCAAATTTATACATCAATCGCCAAAGCCAGTCGTGATGAAACTGAAGAATTCTACCAAAATCTGAAATTGATCAAACAAGCAAACAAGATGCATTAATCATTACTGATTATTGGAATGCAAAAGTTGGAAACAAAGAGGAAGGATTAGTAGTCAGAAAGTATGGCCTTGGTAAAAGAAACAATGCTGGAAATCACATGACAGAATTTCACAAGACCAATGACTTATTCAATACAAATACCTTTTTGAACAACATAAAAAGGCAGTTTATACACCAGGACCTGACCAGATGGCATACACAGAAATCCTACTGATGGACAGGGGAGAAGCTCCACATCATCAGCCAAAACAAGGCCAGGGGCAGACTGAGGAACACACCATCAATTGCTCATGTGCAAGTTCA